GGTCTGTGGGTCAGGGTCGTCTGAGGAGCAAGGAGATGGTTGGAGATGCGTGAACTTTTATTTAAGATTTAAGTTTTTTATTTCAAAGGTCCTCATGGCTCAGCAGCAGCAGCAGAAGCATAAATATTACTGTTAAGAAAGCTGATGATAAAGTTGAATAAAAATCTAAGTCTGATTCTGAAGGTAAATTAAATATCTGACAGTGATCATKACACAGTGTGGCTCTAATTCACCACTTCACCATCTGTGTCGCAGTTACACGTCTCCAAAATGAGCGTACGCATGGGTCAGAGTTGGCGTGAGGCACCGCACATTTTCACGTCAAGTTTGGATTTTATAAATCACAGCTTTGGCATAAAAAATGGCATACGCAAGTTTCTGGGCTCAAATTGTGCGTACGCCAGTTTTATAAATCCGACCCCAGGACTGTACAGTTTACACTCAACTACAGGCCAGGACTGTACAGTTTTAGTGCTGTACCAAACGATTATTTTATAATCTATTAATCTAAGAATTTATTTTTTCGATTAATCGATTATTCTAACAACAAATCTATAAGTTATTCTGATGTGAGTGCACTGGATATTTAAAATGTTTTCATCAAATTAACAAGAACAGTTCTTGTGCCCAGGTGTCCCATTCTTAMAATGCTGTGTGACTCAGCCCTCTGTGAACATCAGGGACAATCTGGGCTCTAACGATCATCACACTGATGGTCTTCTTTTGGCTGTGAACAGTTTTGATTGTCATTGTTAAACCTGTTTGTCCATGAAGTGGAGGCAGTGCTTATCAGGCTGAGTTTACCTGAAACTCCTCAGACTGAAGACGTTTCTTGGAGACAAATCGTTTCAACAAACAGAACCTGTCCAGAGGAACTGACTCAACTTCATTTTAGATTTTTCTACCTGCATTACTGAGATGCATCAGGACACTAAAGGACTATTTTTTCTCCAAAAAAATATAATTAACACTTTATTTTACCTAATTTTAATTTTAAAAGTGTACTTAGTTATTTTGTGGTACACTGTAATTGCCAATCAAAACTAAATCAAATGAAGCTTATTATTCATGTATTTCAAATAAAAAAGCCTGAATATCCAGCATGTTGTCAAAGTTAATGGCTGATGGCAGAACAAATAACTAATTAGGTTGCTTGTTAAGTTCATTTTGAAGATGGTTCAAAGGCAGAAGAAATGTTTAGTTTTTTTCCCCACTGGTATTGTTTTGTTAAAAAATAAGCAATGGTCTTTACCTGTTCCGATCTATTTCTTCAGTTTGATAGTTAATTGTAATTTGTGACTAGTGTTAAATAAAGACTGTTTTAATGAGTGAAAAGATGATTTAGCAGTAAAGAGAAACCATTTTGCAGGTCAGGTTTCCATCCTGGACTAAATAACTCCTGCTGGTCAGATGCTCTGATCAGCTTCTGTCTGTTTTTTTTTTTTTTTTTGAAGCCCTTGTTTCTCTGCAGACCCCAGTGGAGCTCTGCACAAACACAGGTGTTTATTTTCTGTCCCCGCAGACAGCAGCGGTCCATCCAGTGCCGTTTCCAGTGCCGGACCTTCCTCCCCCATCACAGCCGACACTTCCCCACGGTTCAGCTTCAGCGAGAAGGTTTCTCTCAGCCCTCAGAGCAGCGAGGAAACCCATTCCTCTCAGAACATTTCCAGCCAGCCACCACCCGCCTTTGGGTCTCAGGGCTTGGACCTGACTTGTCCAACTCTTTCAAACCCACGTGAAGTCCCTCTGGCTCCAAAAACCTCCCCGGAGGGAGATCCTGGACTCAGTGTTGTGACTGATAACCAGACAGACAATCCTGAGCTCCCTCTGGATGGGCAGGAGGTTGCCTCTGCCACTGTGGAGACTCCCAGTGATCCAGTCTCAGATCCGGACCACAGGCCACCCTGCTCRGCCCTGGCTGAACTGGGTCTGGGTCGGATGGAGGGTTACTGTCTCCCCGGGTCACTACCTGTGCTGCTGGAGCTCAGAGAGAGCAGCAGCGAGGCGGGCTCCAGCTCACAGACGCCTCAGTCTCCTGAGGGTCCAGATGAGTTCTTTGACACTCAGGAGTCCATGGAGCTGTGGATGGAGGGTCCAGAAAACACCCTTCATTCTGAGTCTACTGTGGACCACCAAGCTGTTCAGCCAGCAGAGCCGTAAAACGGGCTGCACCAAGTCCAGGTAAAGGATGATTGTGGATTCTCTGAGCTTTTCTGTTGTCCTGCGCTCCACCTGGATTGACTCACTGCAGTTTGGAAAAACAACCCTAGCAAGTTAGAATCTTAAACTTACAGAAAAAGCTAAAGACTGAGCTGAAATGCTCAAAGAACTGACATAAAATAATCCTTTGTGTATTTTGGTTTTATGAGTTTGTGAATTGTTCCCACAGTTAACAGAGTTTCATCTTGGGATGTGTTGTTTCTGTTTTTCATTGTCTTTTTTTCCACAGCTGTACATGCTGAGCCGTCTGTGGTAGCAGCTGTGGTGTTTATTCATCAGAGCGAGGATGTCACCTGTCTGTGCTGCAGCCATGCTTCTTTATTGCGCTTTATTTTCCTGTTGCAAAGCAAAAAGGACTTTACAACTTGTTTTTTCTCTTTTTTGTGTGTTTTTTAAGAGTCACAGAAAGTGAATGAGCTACAAACCGACAGACTTGATGTGAACCCATGTTCAGATTCTGCTTCTGTGACTTTAAAGACAAACGTAAACAGTTAGTCATTTGTGCATCACATACTGCCAAAGTCCTTAACCTCTGCTGAACATTTCATTTATATAGAACATAAAAAGAAGATATTTATTTTCAAACAGCATCATAGAGAAAGGCTGTATTTTATTACCTGAACACTAGATGTTTAATTGTATCATAGTTTGTGTAGATTTTTTTGTAAAAACACATCATGATGTGTTCAAATGTAAAAGCCTCATTTTAACACTGAACAAAGGGGAATGCTTTTATTGTGGCGAGCAGTAATGTAGCATACATGTGCACGTGGTGAACGTGCACACGTGTCAGGAGCCATTCAGATGTGCAGCTCTGTGTGGATGAAGTGTCCAAATAAAACCCAGAAACTGGGACTTTACTGGACTGTGTGCAGATAAAATGTCAACCTGTTGCTAAAAGGTCAAATCAAACAAATAAACATTTCCAGCTTGTATCCAGTCGTGTGCACTTCATTTATGCTTCAACTAGGGATGTAAGTTATCGATTAATGAATTCATCTAAAGTTGATTGATCTTATTGATCCATTAACGACTCTTTGATAAGCTGCCATTTTCTTATAAAACAGAGTTTTCTCTTGTATCAAGAGGGTCTTTCAATATGAAGGCCTTTTTAAAATATGCTGGATTAACAAAAATAACATTTTTATTTGAACAATTCATTGAGCCAGCTGTATTAAATATTGACTGAATAAACAATATGGATTTATCACACATTAAACTTATTTATAAAATATAACAAACAAAATCTATTAGTCTGCTGAATGGGGGGAAAAGAAGAAAAGACTGAAATAWATGAAACACAATCCACCATGAACGAGATGTAAAACTCTTTATCATTTATTTTCATTTAAAATAGCAGATTTTTCTCTGATTCTTTACTTTTTGCTGCCTTCTTGTTCGTCTTGCTGCAGATTATTCTGACTGAGTGAAAGTGGGTCTAACTGGACTCCAGGTGTTCTCTGTGGCTGGAAGCTGCTAACCTCTGGGGCAACAGAAACATCCTACTCTGTTCTCCAGAGCTCACAAATGATGCCTGGTTCTGTTGGACCAGCCAGCGTGGTTCTGGAGCAGGTGGGCGGGCCGCCCCGTTCCCCCACTCTGCACAGTCAGACCTCCAGTGCAGCTCCATGTACTAGTGATGGGACAAACAGTTCATTTTAGTGAACTAAATCATTAGAATCAGTTCATTAAAATGATTCACGAAAAAGATTTGTTCACTGAATCATTCAGTTCATTTTTAATGCATGTACTATATTAATAAAAATATCACTAATATTCATTATACTAATTATGTTAATAAAATTAATTACAGTAGAGTTACAGAGGGATACAGATGTATCTTTTTGCTATTATTATTATTTTATTTTACTTTAATTTCCTCAAAACAGACCTGTCCCATTCTTAAAGCCAGAAAGTTGCCATTCGAAATGACTTTAGTTTTGTGTCATATCTCTGATCTGCTTTTTTCCTACAAAATTAAACAAGTGAATGAACATCCTCTGAGTCCAGTGATTCCATCATTTTTGCCAGTGGTTGTATGTGTCGATACATGGTTTGGTTTATTGGGATGATTAGAGCATTTGATGATGTGATTTGTTGGGCTGGCCTTTTGTGCAGTGATGCTTGACCAGGCTGGAAATAAAGGAGTCTATTGACTTTTGTTTTACATTAGGCTAAACAAATATTTTTTTTAAAAAAATGCAAAAGAAAATTAAAGTAAAYACATTAACATGCAATACAATATAAATTGTACAGAGTGATACATGAAGCTCCTTACAAAATGGATGCCAAAAAATCTCGTCTAACTCTGACAATGGCCATTTCCCAGTGTTTCTCTGTTTTAATGGGCAGCAAATGTCTGCGGGTGGTCACTGGTTCCCCCCCACACACTCCACCCCGCGCTGCTCTCCTGCTCTGAATCGCTTTCACTCGATTGCTTTTGTTAAATCTCTGTTTTCCAAAGAATTAGCTGCAACATCTCCCAGAACCGGACCCTGTGATGAAGCAGACTTTCAGACATAATGAATTGGATTTCCTTTGACTCTGACAAAAGGTCCAGTTTAATGTAACCTCAGCTCCTGGGCATTCCGCCTCAGATGAACCGTGTGCGTTTCAGACAGAAACCTGGTGCAGCTCTGAACATGCCTGTGCATCCATCCYTACGTGCCATGCGTCCCACACCCTGACTCTGAGGAAGCTGATGTTTGACGCCTTCTTGCTGGAGCCAGCGGGACTCGGAATCCAAAGCCCGGCAGGAGCGGACATATTGCGAAGGTAACGCTCTTTTGTTTGTGTTTGCATGGCGGCAGGTGAAGGYTGGGTGATGTTTTAATGTCCGCCGGCTCCTGCAGAGGTGGCTCAGATGAGACATTGTGTCGTAATGTGGCTGCAGAAACCAGGGCTGAGCTCGTCGCTGCCGCCGGGAGCTGCGGGAGGCTGTAGGAGCCTCTGCATCCAGCCCACTGATGGGGAGGAAAATCTTTTTATTATTAAGTTAAAAAAAAAAAAAACACTGAGAGCTGCCTGTCCGGTGGTGTGTGTGGACGTGGAGCTCATCGACGTGTTTCTGCCGGACAGGACGTCTCCTGTGTTHAATGAGTCCTGAGCTCTGACCAGGCCCTGCACTGCTGTCTCATGATAAACACATTCAAACTGACTTCAGCCTTAAAAAACAACAAAAAATACATTAATAATAATTTATTATTTAAATGGCAGAGGAAAAAACAGAGTGGATGAAGCAGACTCACAGTCTCTGTGATTATGTTGAATAAAAATCTGACACAGGCGTAGGTAAGCTCTTAAAACCCTGGGGCCCATGGTCCAGGCTGACTTCCCTTTAATGCATGCAGTGACTAATTACATCTAGTGCACAATAAACAAAAAACAAAGATGATGGGATAAAAGAAAGACAGGGAAAAGGGGAGTATTTGATAAAAGATCATTGTTTCATCAGTTATGCCTTTTTCCTACCCTCTTTGTTTTAATTTATCTGAATGAATGCACTGTTTCTCTTAATTAATGAAATTTATAATTATGATTTTGTTTTCCTCTGTGTTGCATTTTGAAGTTGTGTCAAAGTGCAGTTGCATAACAATAGTCTGTAAATTAAACATCACTTGTTAAAATGAAAGTACAATGAAGCCCCCCGGGGCTTAGCCTGCACTCTTAGAGTAAAAAAAAAAAATACAGTTTACTTTTTAAAGGGATCCCAGATTAGTTGTAACATCAGACTTTATTTGATAAACATTTATTTTTACTGTAAAATAAAGACTGTAAAAGTTCTGTAGGCTGTTTAGTTTTGTAA